CGGAATTTGCGAAACCAATTTTGACACTGTCTTCCTTTTAAGGCTTCATCACCATACACATCTCGTAACTTTTTAGCAACCTGCTCCGCGTTTTTTCCTTTACGGAAATAATAAAGTAAAATATGGCGAAAATGCTCCTTTGTGGGCTCCATATTAAAATTGACGCCAAACAAACAAATGTAAACAAAATTTCGCGCACTTTTTTTCTAAAGCAAGCTAAAAGTAACAGCTGATAACTGACAGAAGAAAGAATGCAATTACAGAGTCACAAGCCGTTGAAAAAATTTGTCAACGCCGACTATGTGAAAAATCCGCAATTATTTTTTGGGCAACCCAATAATAAAAGTAATTTCAGCTTATTTTATTTTATTAAATTTTTTTTTTGTTTTAATTTTTTTTTATTTATTTAAATTACAAAAAAATGTTCTGTACCCGGCTGACACATAACTGGAAATTTATTCAGCCGTTCTGTGAACTATTTCATAAGTCTACTGGGTTCATTTCGGATATAACAAATGATGACGGAAAGTTAAAAAATGCTGAGCCAAGTTTAAAATAACTTTATATGTAATTTTCTGATCAGTCCAAGCTTTTTATAGAAAAACAAAAAAATTAAGACGGAATTATTCCACCAATGACCTGGTAATAGTTTGAATTTGAATATTTGCTTAGAAGTATATATGTATTTAAGAATTATAAATAAGTTTTTATTGTTAGTATCACCCTAAATGTAGGCAATATTAATTGATCTATTCAAAATTCTATTTTGATTGCTTTGCTTTAATTGGATATATGTTTGTCTATTAAAATATAATTCATTATTTCTACTAGAGATGGCTTTAGTAATCCATATTTCGTGTTTTATAAGTGCGATTGGATAACGCTAGGTGGCGCTAAGAGATGAAATTTTGTACTAAAGAAGAAAAGTGTTGAAGATACGTCATATTCTAATTTTTTATTGTGATAAATGCGAAAAGTAAGTCAGACAGCTGACATTGTTTATGGTTTTGACGTAAAAGATGCTTCACGCGATTCACGCGATGCTTATCAAAAATGTCAATGAAATAATGGAAATCGAGTCGAATCGGATCCTCAATAGAATACTGTTTCAATTGCTCTGGAGCTAAACATTGCGTAAAAGGCTTTTGATAAACACCAGAAGAGGCAGAGTACACAAAGAAGCTCGTTCGATCTGTGCGTGCCAAAAGAGTTGATGAGAAAAACCCTCATGGACCAAGTCCATCCATTAGCGATTTGGTGCTGAAGCGGTTGGTTACTCGTAATGAAAAGTACACCAACAACAGCAACGTTAGGAAAAATCAATCGTGGTGGAAGGACAATCAGCTGACACAACCGACCTCCTAGATAGGACTGACGCCTAGGAAGGTTTGATGAAAGCATTCCCCCAGATGGGCACAACTTTGACCAACAAGAAGGGACATTTATTAAGCATGAACCTTATAGTACAGAGTAATGGCTATATTTTCCTGTCTATGGCAAAGGATTTCGCAGTTGCAGAAAAGGCCACAGGAAGGCTGTGAATATCGATTATCCGAGTTCTTCGTCAACAAGTGCAAGCGTTTCTCGGAGAGAGGCCCTACGATATTACCATAAATAATGGATGACTTTTTACCTTACTTAATAAATTTCACGATCGTTCTTAAAGCCTTCTTTATTTTCTTCTACCAGCAGCTCTCGGCTGCTTACCACTCACATAAAAATTTATGTTCAAAAAAAAAAAGCTTAAAATTATGAAAAATGAAAAGCAGAATATAACACAATACTCAAATATTATGTGAAACATAATTTATAAATATATGTACGTATCTATACATACGCACATCTCTATTTGCGTATTTCCACACCGACAAACAAAGTGTTCATTGCCTGCGAAGCATTCATTATTTGCTTTCATTTAAAATGCAACGCAGTGGCAGTAGCAGCATTGGCATCAACAACAACACACAACCACTGCGCTGACGCCCGTTTATGCAACATCTCTGGGGAATCGGGCGAATGAATGGTTGGTTACAATTGAGACTCGAGAGGGTTGCATACAGCACGTGGCAAGTGGTGTTTGCTATTTTGCTTGTCATTGTTGTTGCAACCCCAACGACGAAAATACAATACCAAAGCCACTTTGATTGATTGTGTCTATTGTGTGTGCTTTTTCAATTGCACTTTACGCACATACGTGTACATGTTTATATATATATGATTGTGTGGGTAAAAGTAAAATTGAGTAGGCGAATGGGGTTGCTGGCTTGTTGGGGGTGCGGAAAATTTTAGCAAAATTAAAAATACGCAAAATTTGTCAAAAAAAATATAATATATAATAATACAAGCGTAAACCTATGTGTATGTCATTTGATATGTAGATATGTATGTGCGTTTGTTTTTGAGTAATGAAAAATCATGTTTCTTTGGCTTGTTGTAAATATTTGTTATGTGACGTTTATTTAATTTGCAAACAGTGTTATACATATGTACATACATATACACGCAAATTTTTATATAGAAGTGTATTCACTAAAGTTTGCTGGTTCGTGTTTTCTACGCGACAAGCGTAGCAGGATATTATTTCTTTTTTTTTCTTTAATTTCTCAGCTACAACTAAATTTTATGAGACAGCGAATTTTCTTTTCTTTTTTGATATAAATTCAAAAATTCATGAAAATTAGCAAACCAATATTTACACAACATACATACATGTATATGTATATGTATGTGTGCATTTGCAGCTTCGGTTTTATGTTCGCCAGCAAAGTTCTTAATATATTTTCATACAAATCTGTCAAAAAGTTTCGACATAAAATTTTGATTTCTACACTTTCCGCACATATTTTTTATGCCACATAAGTAATTAGAAGCATGCATGTGCGTATATATGTGCATACATGTATGTATGTTTATAGACATTTGTATCAGACAAACAATATTGACAAAAGGCATGTCATTTAAATGCAAAATTACACAGCAGGTTAAGACAATATGCCGTACATAGAATTTCTGTAGTGAAATGACGTACTGGTAGGGAATAGTACTAGTTTGCTTTTAGACTGATATGACACTAGTGCGAAAAAACTCAATGTGGAATCAATGTGAAAAGCCTTAATTTAAGTTTTACTTTAATTTACATTTTCTTAAGAGCTATTAATTTTTTTTTAATTTCTAAATATTCAGGTGTGTGTTTACTAACATACATAAATACATACTTGAAAATAACTTAATGTCAAAAAAATTATTTATTTACATAAGTAAAACGTTTCTCAGCATAATCATTACACAAAATATTTTTTCACAAAACAAAACTAGTATTGGTTTCAAATTGAACTAGTTACTCTTTTGTCTAATTTGAAACTAGTATGAAACTGATATTTTTCTACACGAAATAATTAAGGGCTAACTTTTTTAAAAACCTTTTTAAATCTTTACATACATGTTTTCCAAACATTATTCTTTATCTCAAATATTCAAGCAGAAGCTCATTTAAATAAAGTTGGAAAATTCGTTACAATAAAATATTTTATTAAATATTTTGAAAATATTATTAATTATCTTCTTAAATACGTTTTTTGAACAAAATATCATAAAGTACTAATAACTTTCTAACTTTATTGTAACTAGTTGGGGTCTAGTATATCTATGGACACTATATTGGACTAGTAACATTTTATTCCCTTTGGAACTGTTGTGGAAGTGATTAATTTCTTTGCGTTATCTGTTAATTTCCAACTATGACACTTACCTTTTGTAGCAACTAGAACCGTAGTAGTATTAAACTAGTTCATGGACATATTATACACGAGTATTTACATAGATATACTTATAAATTCATTTATATGTTTGTATGACCTTTATTTGAATTGACTTTTCTATAACTAACAATTTGCATGTAAATATTTTGACATGTAAATATGTATGCACGTTTGTCTGTGTCAATCGTAAAAAGTTTGAAAACCAACGCTGACACGCCTCTCTCGGGCATATGACAAAACTCCACACAATAAAAATTTCTAGAAATTTTCATTACATATATATATATATATAATGTATGTTATATGCACAGAAAATGTGTTTGATGGCAAAACTCCGCCCATCAAATTGGCGATGATTATTTGAAAGATATACATATATGCTTACGCCATGCATATGTGTGACATATGTGTGGGTATCACTTCATCAACTTTTAGATGGTTGTTTACTTCGTATCCTCGCTCTTCATTGTTTTCATGCTATAGCAGCAATTAAAATGAAAGCAATTTAAGTCACTTGTTTCCGTTTGCATGTCATATGTCAAAGTGCTCACGCCTCATGGTAACAAGTTCAGGTGGAAGACACTCGCTTCATAGATATTTTTATATGAACCAAAAGATTTATATCGTATATCTTCAAAATTGATGAAGGAAAAATTTGTTGCATAGCATTTTGTGTTTGATTTGTCGTTTTTATTGTGGTAAATTTATGGAGTTTTCAAATAAATTTTTGATATTCTAATCAGCTTAAAAATATATTCATTAAAGATTTATTTAATTTTTTTTTCTTTAATTTAGTTATTCATAAAATTGAAAACAATGGTAGTGAAAACAAATAACTGGGCCACCCTAAGTAAAGGCAACATTTTATTGCTGTAACTCAGGCTGTACGAAAAGCATTGCCTACACTTTGGCGTTAATTACAAATATTTATCGAAGACGCATACCACGATTTTAAATGTAACGACTAACTATAATTGCTGTACCAATTGTATTGCCTACACTTTGGCGTTAATTACAAATGCTTTAAACGCAGTGAATAAAATTACACGGTTATAGGTGATATATGTTTAGAATAACTATTTTTTGTTTGTAAAATTTTTGAATTGACGTCCAAGTATTATATGAAATCTATATCGAGCGATTTGTGACTTAGCTTGGGCTAAGAAATATTTTAATTTAGGAATTTCTTCATCAAAATATTTTTTTTATATCAATATTTTTATTGTGCTTTCCTTTTTTCAGATATGCCACGAAATGTTTGCATCGTCACAACAAAAACAACATGGTTAACTGTATACATCAAATTTCAGCACTAAAATTAAGGTAAGATTCATAAATAGCCTTACTTATATATATACACAACATTCTTTTTCAATAATTCAATATTTCACTCGCCTTTACAAACCTGAGCGGTTTGGAAAATATTTCTTATTCCATCTAATTTTACTTCATTATATTTTTGAATTATAAAATTTATATTATTAAAGTTAATATAAGTTAATTTTATTTAATGTTACTTTATATAATTTTTAATTTTATCTCATTTTTTATTTAAATTTATTTCATTAATTTCAACTTTTTTGTAACATTTTTATATTTTAATTCAATTTTTTATTAATTTTTTTATTTTAGTTTCCTTTTTTAAATTTATTTTATTTCACTTACTTTTTATTTTTTTCATTTTTTATAAATTAAAGTCCATTTGAATCAATTTTAGAACTTTATTTTATTTTAGTTTATTTTATATTGTTTTACCATACTCTATTTTAAATTATTTTGTTTTTCTTTTTTGTTTTATTATATTTTTTATTATATTTTATACAAAATCTTCTTACTTTGCAAATATATCTTTTAAATTCTATGACCTACGAGTAAGTCCACCAATTACATGTCGAATTTTCATAATTTAATTTTTTAAAACTCTTTCCACTTATCTTCTCCGCATAAGCAACTCAAAGTTCTTTTATTTGAATAAAAATCACTGAACTGCGAACCACATTCTCAAAAGGTTCAGTCTTAAGTTCAGAAAGGAAAAGGAAATGTCATTATCAGCAACAAACAATAAAGCAATTTAGATAATAAAATTCACTTATACAAACAAACAAAAATTATAAATGAAATTATGGTATATATAAACGTGTTTGTGAGGGTTTTTTATGCGCTGGAATTTTGTAGAGAAAGTGAGTTTGGAATATGCACAAGGCCACATGCATTTACGTTTGTTTATATGTACAGTGCAATTTGAAGCAAAGCGAAGCAATGACAAGGATGTGTTGCGTAAATTTCCTTAGCAGAGCATAGATCCTTACACAAGCACATACATTTGGGTGTGCGTTAGTTGCTGTGAAGATATAAAGCAGCAATGCAACTGCTGTTGGTACATGCCGTCACAGCAGTTGTTGGTATACATGTATACTCTTATGGGTATATATACACATATATATGCTTTCATAACAAGATTTTTCTTATAAACCGAGATTATGTGGAAATGTCTCAAGTGTTTCTCACTACACAGTGGTACAGGTAGTATCATAATTAGACGAAAGGAATTCAATTTGATAATAATTACAGGAAAAAATAAAAAAAATTAAAGTAAAATATTTGCAAACCCCATTTGTAACGCTTCTCGTCTTATAGCCAAAAAAAAAGCAATAAAAATATTTTTTTTCTTAAAGTGTTTTTGCAAAAATTTTCCTCTAATGACTTTTATTTAAGGCCAATCACTGTCTTACCATTTACCGTTTCTTGCCACCACCATCAATGCGTCAATTTCTACCACTTGCTACCTAACATTTGGTATGCAATGGCATTTGCGTCACTTTAAGAGAGAATTTGAATTTCTTGCAACGCTTCAATGTACTTGACAATCTAGCGTGGTGAGGAGATAAGGTAAAGCACAGCGGAAGAAAGCGTGAGCGAAAAGGAAAGAACAATATACAAAATTGTGATACAAAAAAAGCAGACAAACAAACATATAATCTGCCACCATTGCCGCCTGTTAAGTTGCAAATAAATGTAATTTCTGTTTGTTGCAACATACGCTTTTTGCACTGGCATTTCTTGTTCGCTTGCCACAAATTGCAATGGTTATACATACGTTAACTCACGCAAGCGAATGAAGATGTATGTATATATATATGTTTGTATGTATGCAAATTGAATAGCCACATGCAGTTGTTGTCGCTGCTGCTAACTTTTGTGCTTTATCTACACATTTTATTTCAAATTTTGTTGCCGTCTCTGCATATACTTTTTTCTTTTGTTTCTGTTCTTCAAACAGGATAGTAGAGGAGATCGTTTTTTGAACTCGCGCTTAATTCCTTACGAAGGGTTTATTTATATTTACTTAGCATTGGAAAAATCAAACGAAAAAGAATAAAAACTGAAATTACATTATATAAAAAAAAAATATTAAATTAAGCTAAATTAAATTTAATTAAGTATATTATACAATAAATAAAATAAAACATAATAAAATAAAATAAAATAAAATAAAATAAAATAAAATAAAATAAAATAAAATAAAATAAAATAAAATAAAATAAAATATTAGTTAATTAATTGAACGAAATAAAATAAAAAAGCAAAAGCATACAAAAATAAAGTAGAATAGCAAAATGAAGAAAACTAAAATATTACATTAAGTAGAACAGAACAGAATATCAAACTAAAACAGCAATAAAATAAAATTAAAATAAAATATCAAAATTTAATAAACTGTAATAATAAATTCGAAAAAATCAAAATAACTTAAATGATATTTATAAAAGTTAAACGATTTGTGATAACATGAAACAAAATAAAATTTAATAATATTAATGGAAAAAATAACGAAATTGAAATTGAAATCCATAGATGCAAGCATAATTAGGCAAATAAAATTTAGAAAAATTAAAGGCAAATGTAGTTAAAAAAAATAAATTAAATCGCCCTAAGTTAGCTCTTCCTTATTTTCTTTACTTTTTTATAACAACTTGTACCTACCATTTTCACCACAGCATCATGTGCAACTTTTCGCTCTCCCTGTTCATATTTATGTGCAAAGCACAGCTGAATGCTGCAAAATCTGCCATCAGTTTAATTGCATGCGGTTTGCCTATTACCAACCGGTAGCACTCGAGCACTCACCAGGGGAAGAGAAATAAAAAAAAAATTAGAAAAAAAAAAAAACAAGAGAAAAATTAAACAAATAAACCTTTAATTTCTTCTTTTTTTTTGCCTTTTACACAAAGCATGCAGTATCACGTGCTGATTTTGCAATGCACACATACACACACACGTACTGAGCGTAGTAATGCCTTTAAGGCTTTTAAGTAGGAATTTCACGCTCATTGCATGCGTCGGAACTTCTCGACATAAAACACATGCACGCACTGAAATACTTGTGCATATCAAATATGCTGGTGAGTATTTGTATTTACATGTGCCGCTGTCTGTGTGTGTGTGTGTAGGCGTATAAACACTTGTATCCTGTGACTTATCTGCCCGGCATTACGTTCGCATTTGCGTGCCAAATGAGGCAGTTGGCAGGATGGCAATGCTACGACATACAACTTATAACCACCTCTTAGGGCAAGTAAGCTGTGACTAACTAAAGCAACAACAAAAATCACAACAACAAAAACAACAACAACAACAACAACAACAACAACAACAACAACAGTAAAGGATTCGGAAGCGACAAAGTCAACTCCATTTGTTGTTAAATTCATAAAGCTGTCGCATTGCATTGCTGTTGTTTTCCTGTCTTAGCTTTGGTCTGGTTAGCATGTGGCGAATGCTTTTACATACACATACACATAAACACTTATTTAAGCATATACACATATATTTAAATATGCTCGAGCTGTCACAATTGCGTTAAAGAAGTACATCCTGCTATAACAGCATTCCAGCGCTTCAACTCGACATCCTTTCTTCTTTTCCTCACACACACACACACACACACACACACACACACACATTACAGCACTGTTCTATTCTACTGCTGAGTACGTCTGATGAGCTCCAATTGCGGTGTGCTCGCCATTCACAGCAACTTGAGTGTTGTGCATGATTTTGCGCCGCCGTAAGGACATTTCTATGTGTAGACTTCAATCTCGTTCTTCCTTTTCTCACTTGCAATATAAGACATACACACAATCGTCAAGTCCTGTTTACTCACATAATGCCATTTTCTTAACTTTTTCCAACATTTTCTTGCCCTCAAAACACTCAGCAGCATCCTTCGAATTTACATTGCATTTCCTTTTGGTCCGTCCTTGCGGCTTTTTCTTCCTCATCATCATCTTATTTATGTCATTCACTCGTCGTGTGCATTATTTTATGTTGGCAAGCCGCCTTCGTTGTCATCATGACTGTCGGTGGCTCTCAATTTCTCTTCACCTGCAAAGTGCTGCGTTTCCGTCTGTCATTAACACATCATTTGCCATCGTTAACCGCTCAGTTGAATGCTTAAAGTACTTATTTCCTTCGCTTTAATTGGCGGCGTTTTCGTTCTTACTTAAGCAAATTTTTAATTGCGTGCAAATGAAACTGAATGTGAATAATATTTATGAGAATTTATATGCAAATGGAATTTTAAGACTTTGAAAATATTTTTTTTTTTATAAAGTTTAAACCTGGGCGTTATATGTGAGTCACTATACCATGCAAATGACCGCCTCACGGATTCATTAAAAACTCAATCCGTTTAAGGTAATTTTCGACCACTTTTTGGCACTTGTTGGACGTTATCTCAGCCATTACTTTATTTTAACTCAATTAATATATGCTCGTGTTTCAAAAAGAACTCAAAAGTCTTACCCAGAATAGCAAATGGTTTTTAACTCACCAAATCCTTTGATTTTGATGTTTTTTAATCGAAAATATGCAAATATTTTCCGTAACTATGAAATAGCTGGAAAACGTTGCCTACATTTAGACGCATCAAAAGAAATTTATATGAAAATTAAGACTTGTTATTGAATAACGAGCAAATTAAGAGGAACTTTTTTTTTAAGAATATATGTAAGCAAATTGAAGGGAAGCCTATCAAGTAGAAAACATCAACAGTTAATCGATGATTACACACGCTGCAGCGCAGTACAACCCAATACCAGCGACATCTTCCGAATAATATCTTAGTCCTTGAAACAAAAACCGCTCTAAAAATTATCAACATTCCACGTGAGTTATTCGCAACTTAAGTCCTTAGAACATCGTCATCAAGCTCAGAAGGCCGTCTACTGCGAGGTTGATCTTCGAGGTTAAAGTCTCCGGAACGAAATTTCGCGAACCATTTCTTTAGTTGCAGCGCCTACGGTTTTTCCTTTCCGGAATTC